TTAGCAACTTAGAGGTACTAATTAATTCCCTTTTTACTGCAGAACACGACTTATCAAACCATTGTTGTTGTTTTGGATGTTTATAATTTTTATTATTTATTGTTCTTTTATTGGTTACTTTTTTAAGGCAATTATCCGCTGCATTAATTAATATTTTGTTGAATTGATCTGTTGGTTCATTGACATCACTGTCTTTGAAATCATTGGCAAGGTAGTTTTTGAACATTGTTTCAATGTCAATTTTGTAAAACTTTCAGACATGAGCAATTATCTTGTGAGACACTATATATCATTTCACCATATGTCACGGATTTACATTTTGAGATACTGTGGAATACTTTTTTTTCACTGAAAAGGCTGTTTGGGCGTTTCGTATGGAATTTATTTTCACTGATTTTTGATGAGTTTAATGAAAAAAAGGAAAAAAATATAGGAAAAAAAGTATATTTGCTGGATTTTATTTTCACGGAATCATCCTTTCAGCGAAATTAGCGAAAATAAATTGCAAGCGAAAATAAAGTATTCTACAGTATGCACATATGGTATTGATGGTAAAATGACCTAAAAAAAACACAACATTCTCTTTTCATCGCATGTTGTACATCATCTCTTCCCTAGTATGATAACTCCATATTTTAAAAAATATTGGGTTATTGTACTCAGGAAGAAAATAAAAAATTTATTTTATTATTTTCATTGCTGCAATATGAAATGTCATACACAGTGACACCATAGTCAACATAGCAAATAAACAGCAGTTTCTTATATTGTTTGATGTTATGGTTACCCATGCATTCTATTTGAATAATAAGATACAAACATAAGGACAAGACCATGGCAATCTGTTATTATTGTTATTAACTTTCATTAATTTTATTCACACAATGTTTGATGCTAAAACAATTCTATTACTCGGTAGTTTTGTTTTAGACAATAATTGTGATCAAAATTAGTAAATCAACCAGCTTTTTCTCTGTATTATTGCACTGCTGAATTTCAGGTCCATCCCTGAAATTATTTCCTGCTTTACAGGCTTTACATTGTACATACTGGTACATCAATTATTTATTTAGTGAGTGATTAAACAGGAATTACTGTGGAGAAGTAATATTTGTCAGTGAGTGATTGCGTGGTTAAAAAGTTGTACAAATGTATCATACAATATATTTTGTTTGCACTAGTGTGGTCTTTGACGTGTGGTGTGCTGCACACCGTGTGTTCCAAATGCAACTAGTGTATTCTCAAGATTACAGGGGTCAGAATAAATAGTCAAAGCATTTCAGTGAACTCTGTTGTGGTTGAATTTACTAGATAGATGTTTTGTCAGTGGTAATATGATTGTTGAATTATAGCAAAAATTATCTACCGGGTAGTAATGAAAAGGATACTGGTATCTACTAAAACAGGTTGTATGCAAGTCTTGTGTTTGAGTAGCCACCATTTATGATGATTTTTTATTTTGTATTTCTGGAAATGTATTTTTGTCATGTGATTTTGTTCGAATGAGACTGTCATTGTCAATTGATCAGTTGGCATGTACATTACTTCACTCTGAAAAAAAAATCAATAATTTCCTGATTAAATGATACCAGATTTGTGGTTCATGTGCTTTTTAGTTAAAGATAATTTATTTAGTGTGAATATGTCAGTTATTAAACCTTTTTACCACCAGTTCTTCCTTTTCATCACAAAATAGTTTATAGACTGGGGGGGGGGGGTGCAGAAAAATTTGGACGAGATTAAACTTGTTCATTTTCCCTTACATGCGGTTTTTTGATCAAATGTGACATTTTCAATTTCATGGTAAAAACAGTAAGATAATTCCTTCAGAATGCCCATGTGATTGCATTGCATTGTGGATCCCATTTTATGAACACAATACATGTAAAATATATTGTATGTATACAGCAATGTTGAATGTGTGATTGATGACCATGAATCGGTCGAACACAAGCACCTGCGGACCTTAACCAAGGTTCCCCCAAAGTCGCATTCGTTTATAGTGAATGAATCTCGGCCAGTGGAATTGGCCTTCCCATTGAGTCTGTGACACACTCACCCAGGGGAATATGTAGGGGTCGATTCTTTTGATGTTCAGCCTAAGGTAGGATTTGAACTTGGGTCTACCAATCATAAGTCTGACGCGACAACCACTATGCTTCCATGACCGATCAATCATTCTTTAATACTCACCATGTGAAGGGTGTATTGTTTAAGTTGTCAGTAATTTATCTCTGAATAAATTATATAATACTTACCTACCACCTCCATATCTGCTTATTAAAGTAGTATACATTCTTACTATGACCTAAGTAGAAATTTATTTTATCACTTTAATATTTTATTTTTTTCTGTAGTAAACCCTTGTGAAGATGCCGATAATAATAATGTAATTGGTGATAATCGGTATGTACTACAGTCTGCTGTGATGTTAACTTTGTGGTTTCATTGTCCATAGATATATTTTTGATAACTTTATATGCAAAAATTTAAAATGGCTGAGCCATTGCCACCAATCAGATAACAGGACTCTCTAGTCTCTGTAGAGATTATCTAAACACAAACACATTTAAAATATGGCTTGGTCATTTCCACCAATCAGGTAATGTACTTATTTGGAAAAAATGCATGAAACTGTAGTGTAGTGGAATTTTTGGTATTTGGATCAGCAATAAACAGTAATAATAATAATACAAGTAATTTTTTTAATACATAACATTCCGTTGAAGGGATTAAAAGGATTACAATTGAAATGAATAACCAAAAAAAAGAAGAGGAAATAAACATATTATCAAAAAAGATCACAAGAATACACTCAACTTTGTTATTGCAGCCATGTTAAGAAGTCTGTTAGATTATAAAATACTCTTTCTACATGGGACTGATGTCACTTGTGGCTTCAAAACCATTTAGAAAACATTTCCTGTTCCTAACTTACACTAAACAAATATGCTGCAGTGAATAGAAGATAACGCATGCTAAAAAACAAAGGCTTTAGGGGTAAACACTTATTTGTAAACATGTGCCTATCTCCTGCATGCAAAGGTGACGACTTCCTAGCTTTAATATACATGTAGTATGTATTTGTAAGTTATAGCTTGCAATAAGCTGAGAATTTTGAAATGATGTACCGTAACCCATGTTTCAGAATCAAGATAGAATATGTTCAGGAACAAATATATTACGTACGTGTTAGGTCTAACTCTAGAAAGTGCTGTGATGTGGAAATTTTAGAATTTGTCATACTGCCTAAAATTAGCGATTTAATGTCAGAGAGGTCGTTTCCTGGTCATGGTAAAGATTTCCAGGTCAGTACACTTGTTTACTGGTCAGTGCTATGGGTTTCATTGCAGTGGCATGGCCAAATAAATTGTCCATATTGTGATACAAGCCATAATTGTTTACCTATAATTGTATCCTTATTTTAGACCCATACCTAGCTACCTTGAACCTGATAATTTTGAAAGTGGAAGTGAACTTGATATCTCCTTGGATAGTGATGAAGATGACCTACCTGATGTCTTACATACGCCAGCTCAAAATGGCATGTATATCTAGTATACTGTATATACATGTAGTATTAAGTTTCCATTATCTTCGTCTGGTCTGATTTTAGACATAGAAAGAGCGGGGATATCATATATTGTGTTTTTTAAATACTGCATGTGACTAAACATAAATGGACATTTATGCATTTTTCGGTTTACGCAAACTTCTATCACAGATCATGGCAGTGAATAAGATGTTGATATATCTCTCTACAGACTATCTCTCTTTTCAGTACTCTAGTTCATTTCTTTTGTCAACATTTACATTAAGTGGTATGTGACTTATTTCATAATATGCTGGAAATATGTAAATATTATCAAGGATTTATAAAATGAGTGCTAGGGTGTGATACATGTATGCTATGAAGATCTTGTGTGAATTGAAGAAGTCAGGTATATTTCTTGACATGCTAATTAGTGAGTATGTGAAAGGAAATGGTTCGTGTTCATCTCAGGCTGCACCACTGACCAGGCTCTGTGGTGCTATTGATAAGAGCTACATGTACGGTTAATTGGTGCACACAGAATGCAATCGCTTCTCGTGCTATTGTTATCACTATCACTGTACATGATTATGAAAGTACCATACATTTATCTTGTAAATCCTTGATACTATATATACAATGGATATACTAATTTTAAAATAAATTTCAACTCTGTTCAACAGCAACACGTTTTGAAAAAGATGAACTGGTATGGGTTAAGTTTTATCGGCATCCATTTTGGCCAGCTATAGTAAGTTTACTTTCATATAAACTGTTGTACAGATGCATGTTTTTATTTCATTTGATCACCTTTTTACCATATTCACGTAGTTGGATCGCACAAACAACCACTTCACTTGAAAGTAGTCCTTTAATATTAAAACCTTAAATTAGCAAAGATGTACACCTAAGTTTGCTGTCACAATACTATATTAAACTATGTTAAATATTGTGATTTTTGTATTTTTTTCATAATTCATCTGATTCAAGGCCGGCTCTCTAAACAGAAAATTTGCCTTTTTAATGTGCAAAGATGCAGTCTAGTACATTTGTGTAATTGCTGCGTTTACTAGTCACCAGGATTCATGGAGAATTGTTACAGTATTATTTAGTGAATATTAATCTATGGCTTTCTATTAAATCTTCAGATCAAATCAGTCAGGAAAAACAAGGCTTCCATTTGTTTCCTTGGTTACCCACTCACAAGGAGCAGTAAAGGGTATGTACCGGGGGATAGTTTGTTAAATTGTTTGCAAGGTGCTTGCTAGTTAATACTTCGCATCCAGATCTGACCCAGTGCATACATGCAAGTCCAGATTTCTGCGGATTGTAACTAAAAACTCACTCAATGCATGCTGAGCTAGGTCCTAAAAAATTACATTTCAATATTTGGTCTTACTGAAAAAGTTTAGTGGTATGAGCCCTTCATATGATTACTAATTGATTTT